GCCTTAGCCCATTTCTTCGTTGTGCTTATATATTCGCTTGTTATGTATGTCCCTTCTTCTTCTCTCAGGTGATGGTTCCGTTCCAGGCTTTGCAAGCTTTCGGAGTCTCCGTCCACACTGTATGTCCCGGTAAGAAGGCTGGTGACTCTTGCCCCACCGCTGTTCACGATTTCTGTGGCCACAAGGTTTCTCTCTCATTCTCGATCTCGATTTGTTACAACCGAATGATCTGCTTGACACAATCCATTAAATTTCAATTGAGCTTCGAATTAGATGATTGAGTGATCCATCTCTTGTTTCAATTCAAAGGAGAAACTCTATTGACTCCGTTGTCAGAGTTAATTAGAGCAATTCCGTTGTACTCGTGCTGGTTTTTTTACTTCTAGAGAAGTTTCATAAGCTTTGTGTGCACTTTCAACCACTTTTCTTATGTATTTCTAAGAACACTTGCAGACCTATTCCGAGTCACGAGGTCACAATTTTACGCTCAGTGCAACATTTGATGAAGTTGACCTCAGCAAGTATGATGGATTGGTTATACCAGGAGGACGAGCTCCAGAATACCTAGCCATGAATGCATCTGTTGTTGAGTTGGTGAAAGAGTTTTCAAGATCCGGCAAACCCATAGCATCTATCTGTCACGGGCAGTTGATATTGGCAGCTGCAGACACAGTTAATGGTCGAAAGTGCACAGCTTATGCAACTGTTGGACCTGCCCTTATCGCTGCGGGTGCCAAGTGGGTGGAACCAAAATCGCCGGATGTCTGTGTCGTTGATGGTAGTTTGATTACTGCAGCTACGTATGAGGGCCATCCTGAATTTATCCAGCTTTTTGTGAAGGCTCTAGGCGGTAAAATAATTGGAGCAAATAAAAGAATCTTGTTCCTTTGTGGGGTAAGAGACATGATTTGAGCATGTTAAATGATTATGCAGTTTGGTCCTTATAAAAATCAACGTTTTTGGTTATTTTTTTATCTTTGTAGGATTATATGGAAGACTATGAAGTTAAAGTCCCTTTCCAGTCTCTTCAAGCTTTAGGTTGTCAAGTTGATGCGGTTTGTCCAGAGAAGAAGGCTGGTGATAGCTGCCCAACTGCAATCCATGACTTTGAGGGTGATCAAACTTACAGTGAAAAACCAGGCCACACTTTTGCTTTAACTGCTAACTTTGATGGCCTGAATTCCTCCAGCTATGATGCTCTAGTTATTCCGGGAGGCAGAGCACCGGAATATCTGGCCTTGAACGAACGTGTTCTTAGCATTGTCAAAGAGTTCATGAATTCCGGGAAACCAGTTGCATCTATTTGCCACGGACAACAGATTTTAGCTGCTGCTGGTGTCCTTAAGGTCAGTATTGTTCTTTCGTAACTAACAATACGTATTTAGCTATATTGTCCTCTCTTTTTCTTGCCACTACAATGTACATAATATGAAAATTGTTTTGAGAATTTTGCTGGATCTGAGTTTATGTTACCTGATCACTGATGCAGGGAAGGAAATGCACTGCTTATCCTGCCGTGAAACTGAACGTATTACTTGGAGGAGGAACTTGGTTAGAACCAGATCCAATTCACAAATGCTTTACTGATGGGAATCTGGTAACTGGCGCAGCATGGCCGGGACACCCAGAGTTTGTATCGCAGCTAATGGCTTTGTTGGGCATTCAGGTTTCATTCTAGACTTCTAGTCCATGTTTGTGTAAACATCCCTTCCAACCCACTTGTCTGCTACAGAATGTGTAAAACTTGTGGCGTATGGTACATGTTACTGCAATCTCTCATGTTGAGGATTCTGTCTGTGGTGTTTGTCTAAACTGAAGCCTTTTATTCGAGTTAGAAATAAAGTTTTGAGATTGCTTCCTTTCTATGTCATCTCCTGACTAGCTTACCGTCAAAATATTATACATTATTATGCAGAATACTAAGCCACTTATTGGACATTTGCCTCTTTCATTCAATCTATAATTTTAAAAGACTTCTTATGTGAAGGTCTTTCTAATCTTTTGTATATCATACGTTATTTAGATAGTTATTATTTTGTCATTTCACACTGCTGGTTCGAACTTCAAGACTATCTGACTTTTTTACGTAAATTACTATTTTGATTGGTGATCGCTACAGTCTACATGACAGCTACATCGTCGCTGCCAATGAATATGATTCTGGCTATGGTGGATCTATAGACTATGAAACTCTTGACAATAAACAAAGAAACGAAAAAGACATTTAATATCGAACTCAGAGGTTAACTTGTGGTCTCAAATGGCCCCTCTTATGCTTATATAAAACTAAGGCCCCAAGCATGTGCTTCTCTTGCTTACCTCAAGGGCCGACGCTGCTCATACCCAGCAAAGCATCGTCTCAAAATCTCCCGTAATCCTGTAACCTTGAAGGAGGCGCATAAGACTTCAAAGTAGACTCATAACACTCGCCCGAACAAAAGTCACCAACAGCTTCTTCTGTAGTTAGCCTCATGACGAAGGGAAACTTGCAATGAGCTTCACAAACGCTGCACAGAGGTCGAGTAACACTATTGTTGGCAAGTATTTCAAAACCGAGAGTAATGAGTCCTAACTTCACATAATAGAAGACATCCCCGAGTACACAATCAATATGGAGACTCACCCCACAGTCATCACAAGTATAGTAACGTACACTCGGATCTGTCTTGGTCTCACAAATATCACACCACAAGTCACCGCTCGAGTTTCCAGCTCCTTGACGTAATGATAGAAAGTGATCATCACACCTGTGTTTTACCTTTCTTGGTAAAGTAGCGCACTTAATTCGTACTCACAATCTGTACAACTTAAGGGATTCTCTTTTATTTTTGTGTGACAAGCATGACATTCTTTGGAACCTTCCAAGGTGAAGTACAATGGATGTGGATGCAGATCATGGTGAAACGGCTCCGATACAGAACTACACCGAACATCGTAAGAAATAAGATCATTTGTATCATCTGTGCAATCCTGAGAACACGTGTACCGGAAACCTTTAGAAGAGGCTTGAGAACAACCTGTACAGTTAAACACCGATTCTCTACCGTCTTCACCAACCTGTAGAGTATGGTTGTGCAATAAATGTCGTTTCTTCCGAGGAAGATTGGCACATGCTTTGTGAAGGCAGAAATCGCATTCTAGACATTTATAGCATGGATAGTCGTTGATGGGAGAAATACAACCCCCGCAGCAGCGCATATTATCATTCTCCATAACATAATTCTCATCCAGTCTTAGAATATGATGCTCATGACTAAAATAAATGATATCCGTTTCATTAAGTACCTTGAATGGATCTTCGATTTCTTCTTCTTCTTCGGGAACATCTTCGAGTTCTATCCCATCCCACACTTCCTTTCTTGTCGCACATTTTGAATGAACGGCGTTGGGCATTTGAAAGCTCCGTAGACCCAATCAATCGTCTTCCGACAAACTCCGCACTTCCAATCTCCTTCTCCTTGACCAAGATGAAAGGTATGAGAGATGCGGTGATCATGACGATTGATGTTTATGACTCGTGGTAGACTAGTACAATCTTCATGGACCATGAAATTGCATTCAAGACACACATAAGGATTGCGGTCGTCTTCCATACCACAAGCATTACAAGTAAAGGTGACTACTCGTAGCAAGAGGGTTAGGCTATGCTTGTGGTTCTTTGGTTGAAAGATAGTGGGTGGTGGTTGGGGACCTACACATTCTATATGCATTTTTATGTTGCATATCTTGCAACGAGCTACTACACAGCCGAGTCCGTGAATAGTTCGTCGACAAAGATAACAAGGGTTATTTTCACTGTCATCATCAAGTGCTGATAAGATCATGAGAAAGTGATTGCACAGAAATGTCTAGAAGGATTTACTTTTGTGTTGGAACCAACAGACACGGTATAATTTCTTATTCGTCGGAAAAAGAATGACTCAACTGATGTTTCTGTATGATTCTTGTTACATTATTGATCAAAATGCATTTACCTATTCCTGCTTTTTTTTCTTTCTTTCTTTATGCAGTATAGATTTGAAAGCAGCTTTTCATCTTTACTGAAAGCATGCGGCACAGAGACTGTTGACATAGCAGACATTAGCTCCATGAGTCAGGTTTGTGCTTTTATAGTATTTTGCTCATTTGCTCTTTCTGTAAGTAGCCTTAACCATAATCAGTTTGTTATATAGAGTGAACGAAATGGATTTAATATGCGCTATCTTGTCCGAAAATCTACCTTGGACTTTGTTGATACCACCTTCCGGTGAATACACACAGCCAAAATATATTTGTTTTTCCTCATGATTATGAATCGTGAAAGTCTTATCTTGAAACATTTACTGTTTGTAGTTGTGATTTCATCTACAAACAGAAACAACATCGTCTGTTCATATGATCAATGCCACTGAAAAGGCAGAAACTCAACAGAGAAGCCTTCTGCTATTGTAATAGAGGATAGTCCTGTAACGATATTGGAAGAAACTATAAACTTGAATGAGTTTAAAAGCGTAAACTTATTAGCAGATACTGAAATTAAAGGCTACAGTGATGAGAAGAACCCAAGCGATAGTGTTCGTGAAGTGACCATCCGAAGGGACCGAAATGATGAGCCTGAATGTGGGTAGCTAGATGCAGAGGTTTTGGAGTTCCGTCGGTGCAGTCGAGGGTTCAGATCTGGAGAAATCCTCCTTACGGTTGTTTCTCCCAGAAATTTGAACCCTCGACTCCACCGACGGAACTCCAAAACCTCTGCATCTAGCTACCTTAGACAAAACCAAGAAAGCTCTCATTTTCGTTGAACTCATTTTTGTTGATCGACGGCTAAAGATTGAATCCGTAGTAGAAGAAGACCTAGGGTTTATGAATTTGGCCTGAATCCAGGCTTGGGCCTGAATTTAAGTTTTCTGGATCCGTGTATATAAAGGGGTTTTCTGGACTCGTGTTTATAAACACCATCATCATCATTCATTGGGCTTCAATTTAAGTTTTCTGGACCCGATCTG